TCAGACCCACGAATGGGCATTTGGTTGGTGACTGATCTGATCCCAAACAGCAATAATGCTTCATATAGTACTTTGCACTTACAAGGAAGTCCACATTATAAAATCTCATTAATACTCATAACCCCAGTGCAATGGCATCCATAATCCCCATTTTAGAGACTGGGGCAAATTGAGACTCAGAGAGGTTACGGGCTTGCTCAAAACCACACAGACTACTGTATCTTGACCATGTAGGCTTTAAAAAAAAAAAAAAATTTACCTGATTTCTTAGGGAGGATGTTTACAAAGTATAAACCCAGTATTAGAAGTTCTGCATGGAAGTTGTAATCATCCTCATAAATTACTAAATTGGCTTTTCAATGCAAATCAGTAACCCTGGGTACATCTGGCAGTTCTCAAAGTGCCTGTTCACCCCTGGAACAACTGATCTTAACCTTGGAGACGTGGGTATGTAAATTAGACTGAGCAAGAGAAGGAAGAAGGTGGACAAAGGCAGGGCTAAGAAGAACAAGAGGAGCACAGCTTGAGCATGAGCAAGGAGCGACAAAAAAGGCCCTAAAGACTGGGACGGCACAAAGTCAAGAAGTCAACAGTTTTCTGCATACTGCTTTATGCCCCCCACTCCTCTGGTATTGCTATTTTTATTCATGGTTAAGTTCAAGTATGGCCTTCCTTCTGATTTCTACACTGAGATTATGTGGATACAGATAATACGCCACATATTTTTGTAAGCAAAATGAAAATATTTAGAAGACTAAGCCAATTAGCAGACCACACTGCCCCTGCCCCTTCTGCTATTCCAGGAAACAGAGATGCTTATCCTTTTATGAAGGTATCCAGAGAATTCTGGATATTCTGGAAATTCGGCAATTTTTGATAGGGCCCCAAATTACATTTCAGCTTCAAATTTCACAAGGCTTTTTAATATGTATGCAGTCTGGTGATCCCAAAAGTCTTTTAAAAATGGAATTTAAATGTAAAAGAAATTCCTTAAAAATAATTTAATATGACAATACATCAAGTATTGCATTCACTGCAAACTTACAGGGGAAGAAAACACACACACACACACACACACACACACACACAGATACACATAGGTTATTTAGCTTGTTGAAGTTCCATATAACCAAAAATTTCATTTTGCACATTACTGCCACCACAGGCATCCTTACATGTGAGACAGGTTTGAACTGTAGATAACTAAGTCCAGAAGTAAAGACATCTGCCTAGACTCAGAATTCTGGCTCATAATATGGCTTCTGAAATGCACTTATTTGTCAGTTGATATTATTAACAGTTATATGAGACATTTTCTAAAGCATGAATTTTGGGGATTTAAAATTAAATTATTAATTACAAATTACCATAAAAACTATTGCATTCACCCATTGATCCAGTATCTGTTGAAGTAAACATATTATATTCACTCCTTGGAATAAGAAACTATTCAAATACAGTTCCAAGATAAATAAAAAGTAACTAATAAAAGCTAGGCTCTTGGCCAGTCTGGACTGCTAAGTTAAGCCCTTTTAGAAGAAAAGGAAGTCTGGCTTTTCAACATACTGCAATTTCATGATTAAATGTATCTCAACGCTTAAAATTTTTTTTAAGTTTCCAACTGATTTTTCAAGCTAAGGACGCAACTTATATAATTAACGAGAAAAATGACATAGCTACCACTTGGGAAAAAAAATTTTTCCTTCACCGTAGCCACCAGATTTCCTAGGGGCAAGTAAGAATCTTCAGGATTCAATTTCTGTGGCAAAAAACTTCATGACTGTAAAACTATCTTGTCAAACTTTCACAAAAATTCAGATTCACAATTTACACATTAATGGCTGTAACAAACAAACAAACAAACAAACAAAAGCACTTGGAATTCTCATCCTTCAATTTAAAACAAAGAAAGGCCTTAAGAGATTTTCTGGTTCAAAATTTCCCAAAGTGGGTTTCATGAAACATTATTTTCCCAGAAATGCTCTTAATAATGGTGGGGTGATTCAAATAAATTTGAGAGCACTCATGAAGAGTCATTAAAGAAGCTAAGCAGGCCTATAGAAAAGAAACAGGCTTTTTAAAAATATTTATTTTACTAAACCTGTTTGAGCACAGAACTGCAGTAAGTATTTATTAAAATCCTGAAATTAACATTTTGTGAAAACCCCTTATCTCATACAAAGAAACTCAAGTCCAGATAGGCTAGGTGATTGTCCCAAAGTCATACCATTAGTTGGTGGATAAGCTAAAAACAGATCTCACCTCTCAAGACCCTACTAGGGTGTTCTTTTTAGTACTGTGTTGTCTCTCCCCTATAACACCTACACTCCTTAAAGGATCACGGACTATAAGAACTACATCTTGGAGATCATCTAGTCCAAAGCTCTCCTGTTAAATGTGGGAAAATACAAGGGGACTTCAAAAAGTTCGTGGAAAAATAGAATTAAAGGATAATATGAATCTTTTCATGAACGTTTTGAAGTACCCTTGTACAGTCTCAGAGAAGTGAAGCAGTTTGCCCAAGATGACACATAAAATCCATTCCTATAGTAGAACTAGAACCTAGCTCTTAACTCCAACACCAGTATCCTTTCCATAAGACCATACTATACTAATTCCTGCAAAGCCAACACTTTTTGCCTGAGGTATAGTATAGGAGTCATGGACAAGATGGGTTTTAGCTATTAAAGACTCATTAAAATATTTACTAAACCATATTTGTGTCAATAGATATTTTAAATCAATTAAATAATATGATTGTCTTTACTTACAAATGTCATCCACTGTGACAGGGAATCAATGTTTCAAGCTGTTGAACAGGTCATCATCCCTGTCCTGTTGGATGACACCTGTAAATAAAATAAATCTATTTTTGAGTGAGTAGATTTTAAGCCAACTAGATTTAAGATGCATGCAGTTTAAAGCAAAGAGCAATTTTTAAAATGATTCTTAATTATGTATTGTTGGAGAGTGATACTTCTGAGTACCAGCTACCTCACTCTAAGCAGCTATCACTGGCCATCAGCACAAAAGAATCCAGGGAATGTGACATATAATGCTGCCAGAATATACAAGAATCATGGCTCCCAGAGATAAAAGGGTCCTCTAGGCATTATCTCCCTATCACTGGCCATCAGCACAAAAGAATCCAGGGAATGTGACATATAATGCCGCCAGAATATACAAGAATCATGGCTCCCAGAGATAAAAGGGTCCTCTAGGCATTATCTCCCTCAATCATCTCCCTCAGTCTCCTCCCTCTGTGAATATTCTGTAGGAGGGACAACCAAGGCCTGTGAAGTGAAATGACTAGCATTAAAACAGCTAAGTGTTTTTAGCCTAAGTCTCTTGGTGTTGAAAAGAAAACATCAACAAAGGTTATTAGTAGGCTGATCAATCTTAAAAGACTCACTGTACACATTTAAGAATATTTCATAAATGTTGACTTAGAACATTCTAGCACATCTGTAGAGAATATAATGTCAGTATTAGATATTTAAATATAAGCATTATTGAAGAATGCCATGGATGGAAAATCAACCAACTGTGTGAAAATGGGAACTAGATGGCAAAAACAATATTAAACACAGGATGCATTTAGAATTTTAAATTCTGGCTACTTCCAAACAAGATGTGTGAAAATGGGAACTAGATGGCGAAAACAATATTAAACACAGGATGCATTTAGAATTTTAAATTCTGGCTACTTCCAAACAAGATTTGTGGTTCCTAGCAAATATGAGGATATGAAGAACCATTTTTTACAAGTTTTCTACAGTCTATAATTTAAAACGTCTCCTCTGTAGCCACAAAATGTCAACATACGTAAGATCTACGAGAAACTAAAATTTGGACTGGACAATGAACATTTTACATTTCCATTCTGTACCCAAATACTCTAAGATAATTGGAAGTATTTTAGAAAGCTGCCTTGACTTAATATGCTGTTATAATAAAATGACCAAACTCCTATTGAGTACTTACTATGTGCCAAGTACTATTTGAGTGTTCTACACATATTGTCTCATTCAGTCCTCACAACAACTTATTACAATTTTACAAACAAGACAATCAAAGCACAGAGAATCAAGCAACTTGCACACAAAATTATTTGGTGACAGAATCCATGCTCAAAACCTATTGCATTTCTTTAACCTAGCATCTGAAGATTCTTGAGAAAATAAAAATGGATGAATGAAATTAAGTGAATTTTGTATTCCAATTAGAATATGTAAAATTCCCCCAACTAAATCTCAGACAATTTAAAATATCAGGAAATTCTCTTACTTTTTTCTTGGGGATGAAGGAGAAGATGGGGACAATTCTCAAAAGAGCAAAATAATCTTAATGCCAAAAAAATAAAAGTTTTCATGTTAACCTGAAATACATAACAATTAAAATATGACTACTAAAAAACTTAAACTGTTTCTTATAATTAAAGAAAAATAAAACTTCCTGATTCAGTTACTCCTTAACAATCCATAAAGAAATAAATCCTCCTCCTACAGAAGATTGAGTCCCAAAATAGAATAAGTTATTAATAGACTGAATTTAATCATATATATGATATGTATATATATAAAATCTTGCTAAAGAACAGAACTATTTACAAAGTGAATTATCCTTGAGGAAAACAAAAAAGTAATTTTGATAGTTGCGACCCCCTCAATTTCTTATATAATAATAGCTATCTTTTCTAGACCATGAGTTATGCTTTGGACTAAACCCTGGAGCTTTGTTACTAAGGGCCATTTTCTCATATACTTTTTAAACTGTGAAACTGATAAAATAGGAAACAATAAGGAGTACAAAATACATATGACAAATTTTAACTGAACAGGAAACAGCAGAGAAATTCAGCACCACAGAAAACTAGACATTAAGAAAAATGCATATACTTTTCAAAGCACTGTGGAGAAATCAATCTCTTTTGCCAATAATGACTTTCTTAAAAGAACCCCAAATAGAAAAAGATAAAGTGTGGTTTCGCGGTAGCTTACCCTTTTCTCTGATACCCCATCCTGGCCTGTAGAATCTCTCTCATCCTGTGTCTCTTTCAGGACTGGCATATGTTTTTTGTATGCTGGCTCTCTGTTTAAGGTTGTGTATCCTACATGCTCATAAATTGGATTTATCGTCATCTTGGCAATGTATTCTGCTGCCTTGGTTTCAATATAGAGGGTAATCAAGCCATCAGTCACCAGATCGTGGATGGACTCAAAGCGTTTCTCCCCAACAAAGTGCTTTCCATCGTAGTAGAGCCTGAAGTTTCTGGTTTGACTTCCAAATCTGCCTCAATAAAATGGGAAAGATGTTTTTAAGAAAAGTAAGCAAATGAATTATTTCTGAAAAAAAAAAAAAATAACTAGTGCTTTGTGTGTTGTCTTTGTTTAAATAAGCTGTGGCTAATCCCTTGCACCGTCTGGAATATATAAAATTAAACTTTTAAACACAAAGAATGAACGTACAATAACTAGGGATAACTAGCCAAAAGCATGCCTACCCTAGAAGGAAAAATTTGTTCTTATTTATCTTTTTAAGCCACTTCATTATGCTTGTGGGAAAGTCAAGGGAAAATAAACCTCATACCCTATTAAGACACATTCAATATTCAAAGGTCAACTCTACAATACGTGAAAATTTTATATTATCATTTTTCTTTAAGTTGATCAATAAAAATATTCAATGTTCTTTACATCCCAGCACTCATGACTTTTAATGGGAAAGCTCCATTTAGGGCTCACCTGAGTATGACACCAGCAATCATGTAAAGTAGAGCTAACTCCAGACCATGCAGGGCAGGATGACACAGAAACACACTTTTGCTATTTCTGGCCACAGGCCAAGGACTTGTTCTTCTCTTTTACACAGTCATTTTTCTACATCTGCTGGTTAACTCTGGGCAAGAAATATTTGCAATATATAGATAGAGCACATGTCACAAACTATCAAACTACAGAAATTCTGTTTTCAATTTTGAGTCATGTTTTGATGACATGTTTTAACAAATGGAAAAGAATGGTTTCCTCTTACGATAATTTCAGTATTTTACTTCCTGCAGCAAACCTCAGAAATGAATTCAAATTGGCATCACTAGCACCAGTGTTCTTGCAAGAAGATACAGGCAAGAAGTGCACTGACATTAACAAAACCTGACATCAAAAGGCATGAGAATCTGCCAGTGTCATGGACTACCGAAGACCCCAAGTGAGCCTAATTAAAAAACTAAACAAATTAGGAAGGACATATTTAATTTCATTATTAAAAAAATACACAATGATGAATGGAGATGAACTAAAATACTAAAAGAATCACTGTTTAAATAATGTTTTAAATGGGACTACAAACTTGTTATACAACATTATTCTGGTATAGGTTATACTGCAAAAGGACAGAAGCTAGAAGCTTCTTAAAGAGTCCTTAAAAAAGGAAACAAAATATTTTTTATAATGACTGAGGCATCTCCGTTTCTGTGCTTCAAATTAGACTTTAATAGTTATTTAATCCAGAATCCAATGTACTATGCTAGCCCTTCTAACATATAATTTATCCATCTTCTGGTTCTCTACAAGCAATCAAATTGTGATTTACACTCAAATGAACTGTCCATGTAATTATACTTTCCTATTCATTTCTCCTAAGTAAATTTTCATTACAATGTAAATCTAAAAAATTAGGAAGGTAAATTTCTACACTAAAGTTAAATATAAAAGTTTTTCAGTTTATACTACTTTTAGCATTTCTTTTTTGCTACTATACATTATCTGCTATTTACAAAAAAACATGGAAAGCCACCTTACAATTTTTATAAAGCTCTTAAAACAATAAACACGTATAGCATTGTTTATTATTAAGTCCCATTATATTTCAGTTGTATCAGAAGCATTTCAATGAGGGCTTATGATTTTACAGTGGGCATTTCTAAGAGGGTATGACACTTAAAATAAAGACTACTCAAGCAATGGTGTCAATCACTTGTCACTCAATTGTCTTTTGAAATCTGAGGAGTACAGGGAGCACAAGGTGTAAAGGGAAGATGGCTGGACTGGCCTTACCTGGGCTGGGAATGGTTTGACTGAAAGGGTGAAAGTCTAGGGTCAGACTTTCTAGCACTTTACAAGGGGCTATTCCTAATCCATCCAAGGAGGGGATGTCTGGCTACCTGTGCAGTGTTGTGCAGAAAAAGATTAGGTTTTTCCTTTTCTCTTTCTCAACTTAGTGACTTCAAGAGATATTATCTACGACTTCCAATTCCTCCTTAACCTGTACTTCAGGTCTACCCTTTCAGTCCGATCAAACTTTCAGTCTTAAGGGAGTTATCAGGTAACTAAAATAACTCATAATGTGGTCTGACTAAAACTTAGCTTCAAAAGACAAAAAAATGAATTTCCTTTTGGAATTATGATTGATTTTTTTTAAAGAACAAATTGTATTCTTTTTATTAAGGGAACTGCAAGTTTTCCTCGCCTACTCTGAACTTAGGACGTTTCATTTTCACTTAGGAAGTTACATAAAAAACAGCATAATAGCACAGACTATCAGAGACTTCTCTACTTCCTTGATCAGATCTGAAGGGCATGTTGTACTTTGTGGGATCTACATATGTAGAAAAGGCACACACATTCCCTATTTTTCTCTAAGATTTTCTGTCCTTTTTCTCCATAGAAGGGGAGGTGCCAGATCTAAGGGCAAAGAAAGAACCCTTCCTTATAAAAGTTTACTGCTCACAGATTGTCATTTATTCAACAAATATTTAGCAAAACATCCAGACACTCATTAAGAACTAGGTAGATTAAAATAAAGTTCCTGTTCTCTTGGTAATCCAAGAGATAGATAAACATGAAAACAGGTCAGTACAAAACCATGAAATGCCGAATTTTAAAAAGTTCACCTCAGAGTGATTTTTAAAAAATTATAAAAAACATATATAATTCTGCTCTTCTATAGAAAAGTTTCATTTCTGTAAAGGGACTCATAAAACAAAGTGAATCCAATGCCTCCCTTATACTACAAAGACTAAGAAACTCACTGCTTAATACGATCTCAGAGCATAACAGTTAAGTTTACATTAAGAACTCAGAGCTACTACTTATGTCCAAGGACAAATGCACCCTTGCAGTCTTGAAACACGGTTTGGCCAGGGGCAGGCAAGTATGTGTCCTAGAAGACTAAGAAACTCACTGCTTAATATGATCTCAGAGCATAACAGTTAAGTTTACATTAAGAACTCAGAGCTACTACTTATGTCCAAGTACAAATGCACCCTTGCAGTCTTGAAACACGGTTTGGCCAGGGGCAGGCAAGTATGTGTCCTATGTCTTTAGCAGAAAACCTTAGGCTTTGGCATTAGGCAAATGTGGGTTTAAACCCTGGATCTGCCACTTCCAAGCTAAGTGACTTGGGGAAAATCATTCTTCAGAATCTACATCTAAAAAATAGGAATAACATCACCCTTCTCCTTAGTGTTGTAAGGATTACAAAGGAATATTTAAAAATTAAAGCTGAATATACAGTATGCTCAACGAATGGTAGTTCCCCTCCTCTTTCTCTGTTATATGCACAGCAGACAGCTGAACAAGTAAGTGGCAACATGGCTGTACAAGAACATTTCTGCACTGGCTTATTTTACAGTCAACAAAAGGCAAGGAGGAGCTCTATAAATTTTCCTTCTGGATGTCCCTGGATAAGTTTACACTACATGGTTAAATAGAGTGGGACTACAACAGAGTACAAAGTGGGCAGGAGGAGACAGCAAGCACGTCTTTTCACTGTGCCCTGGGAATTAGGTCTCTGAATTCAAAGGAGAAAGGTCAGCAAATATACTCATATGGAAAGCAGGACATATTAAATAAAAATAGTGACAACTACTGAACTCTAGACTACAGAGTACTGATTTGCAAAAACTGTTAAAGCTAAACCATTTCCCTTCCATTTCATAAAAAAATTTTCTTTTTATCTTTTCCCATATTTATTATCTACCTCTGCCCTTACTTAATAGCTGTTCATTCCTTGGTGAACATGCTTGAAACTGTATAGGCCCAGCTATCACGTAGACAGAGTCTGACAAGATGAAAATTCATTTTCTCCAAAGTGGTACTGTAGTTAACAAATAAGGAAAGGAAGACAGATAATACACTTTGAACTGCTACTGTTATACATAATTACCACTTTCCAGAAAGAATATCTTTTTCTCCAGTGATTCCAGGCTGTGGTTTTCATATTTTAAAAAGCTGTTTAATGCTGTGCCCAGTTGCATTCAGATGAATTTCAAAATATATAATTCTAACATCTAGCTTTAAAAAAGAAATGAACGAAACCCTTAATACCATCCTGTCTATTCTTCAGCAAATGAATCATACTCATAAAAATGCAGTCTAGAAGCACAAAATGATGAAGATGTGTATACAGAAAAGCCTTTGGAATTTTACTTTACTTTTTCTAAAACCAGGAATTAGTTCTGATTTGAGGCCAATGTTATTTGGAAGTATCTCTTCAAAGAAAAGCTCCAAGCTAACAGATGTTTTCTGTTAACAAATAGAAAACAAAACATATACAACACACTTGTCTAAGCTAACAATAAATGTTAGAAGTATTTCCAGAAACCAACATACAAAAACAGTTTCATTTATTATAAATATATATTTGTATGTTGTTTACTGGAGTCAAAGAAGCTAATCTAATGGTGAAATACAAATATCTCATAAACTCATCCAATCATAAATATAACTTTGGAAGAAAGGTTAAAACAGAAACAGAAATATGATGAAGCATTCAATTAAATACTAAAAAATAAATTGAGATGGACTCTATTAACTAAGAGGCTAAGGAAGAGAGAGCACAGTTATACACAACTTTAAAATCCCTTCTTCATCTAAAACTTTGTTATAACTGACTTTTATCTATCTTGCTATATAGTTTTGGATGGTAAAATGGGGCAAAAATATTAAAATATCAACTCATGATGATATTCCTTTGGCAGAGTAAATCATTTTCAGTGAAGATGCAAATTAATTTGCCTAACTAAACTTCCCAAAATGGTACTAGGTAGCTATGGAAGGTGAAACTGACATAGAAAAGAATTAATTGAAAGTCTGTTTAAGATGCAGTTAGATATTCCCCTGACTCTCCCCATCCTGGTCCCCAGTGTTACCCCTTCCCCAGTGTGGCAGAAGAATTAAGTTTTGTTCTCTGGATAGGACAAAACAGGAAGAATGTAAACCGAGGAACATCAGGTAGAGCTGAAGGCAGAGGTGACACCCTGAAAGCTAAGTGAAAGTTTCAGATCCTGA